CATCCTGTTTCATATTACGAGAGAACCTCTACAAGTTGACTACCCAAGGGACTGTAACACACTGATCACCATATGACATCCAGTTAATTGAAAATTAGGTCAACTTAAAGAGGTGGCCAATGTAGGGAACTGGTGAATTATGGAGGTAATACTGTATTTTGAACTTTGGATATGTGACAAGTGGTAAGTAAAGACAATGACCCAGCTAGACAATGAGCAAGAGAGAAAATCAGCCTGGAATGAGAACATCTACTGTTTTTACCTAACTCTTAATGTCCTAAGAGTCAACGACCATGATGGTAGAGATGACTCCTGTAATTCCCCAGGCCTTTTATCAGCAGGGATTTGGACAGCTCATCCAATGCACTTCTTGCCTCCTGATAACTAATGCCCAATTCATTCCATAATGATACCTACCCTACTAAAAAAATGTTCCAGGAATCTTAAGATCTTTTCTAGCTACTATCTCTTTCTGATTTTAGCCAGAGTTCCCACCTGTTATGTTTTTTTTTACCCTCCATTTACAAAATACATAACCGCAGAACAGTATATAGGTCTCTGAACCACAAAATGCGAGGAACTTAGAAGAAGCAAAAAGAAGTAAACTATGAGGTTACTGGCAGCAAGAGATTGATGATGAAGGGGATGTTGGATTTGGAGATACAGTAGCTGGTAACAGCCAGTTCAGCTTTCACCAAAACAAAAACGTATCCATGATGATCTCTTTCCATTCAAATTCCAGGAAACATGGTGTGGGTGAAGTTGAATCACCTGGAGGGTGTGCCAAAGCCTGGTTGTTACTTTGGACTTTTCCTATGCAGTAAGCTCTCTTATTTTCTCTCAGAGCTGAGTTGTATGAACTTTTGTCTTCCAACTGTCTCTACGTTCACCCTCTTTGAGAAGGAAGAAATAGGATCCAGAAGATAATACTGCCATTTACTGAATAGCTACACTTGCCAAGAACTGACCTGTTTTATATCACTTATTCATCTCAATGATCTTGAATGGATGTTATTATTTTACTTCTTTTATAGACAAAGACTCTGAGTTTCGGAAAGTTAAAGTGATGTCCCCACAGTTCCTGTAAGTGAGGCAGGTTGAATATGAACCCAACTAAATGCTCCGTCTAAACACGAAGAAGGAGATGAGTATAATCGTGATGGATGTGTTACTTAGTTCAATGTAAGCATTTCACATTGTACATTGAAGTAGGACCCTAGACCCCATAAATGCATCAATGTACAAAGTTATGATTTAATAAAAAATCATTAAAAAATAAAATGAAATGAAAAATTAACAAAATAAATAAATAAATAAAAATAAACAAGAAGAAAGGAGCACAGAAATGTTCCATCTGCATTCCCCCTTGGACTCTGTTGGAGATTAATGTCCTTTCTCCTGCCCATCGCCATGGCTTCTCCTCCAGGCTGTGAAATCACAGCCCCATATGCTGACAGTATGGTCCTTCTTGGCCTACAGGTAGAGTCAAGATCAGAGGATGGTGGGATTCATCTCACACTCACAGAACCTCTACACTCTTCAACCCACACCTCCAGCTCAAACCCAGGACATCAGTGAGGGCCTTCTCTCCAGTCTTTCCCCTATCCTTTCTCCATGAGACAAGCACAAGAATTTGCACACCTGCAACACCCCAGTCTGTGGGAAGTGAGTGGGCCTGGTCCCTAACCTCTGTGTGAGATGGCATGAACTCCTGCCCCACGGGGTCAGAATGCAGAATTCCCCAGTAGCACAGGAGTTGTGAGTCTGAGGAACAGCTATCAACACATCTGAGCATGCAGACCCTCCTGTGCCAGGCTGGGAGGAGCCAGCTCCTGTGTTTGTCAATTTGTGATTGGTAGTGGCTGCGAGATTATGGTAGAGCACAGCAGCGGTCCAAGCCAAGTGGGAGTAAGTTGTTGCTTTGGTTTTTAAAATCAAATGAATGACCTTTACAACTTCAACTGAAAATTCTCTGGAAAGGAGTAAGAGTGGCTGTGACCCTCTTCTCACCGCCCACCCACTTAATTGAAGTGGGATGCAGAGCAGTCCTGTGCAGACACAGGAGGAGAGATGCAGTTAGCACAGATGGGTCTGGGACCATGTTCAGGGTGGTGGAGGGCCTCACTACATCCTCTTGCCCCTCTTCAAAATGAAGATATCTGAGTTTATATTTATTATCCTATTCTTGAAGCCAAAAGACCATCCTTGGAGCAGAATATGCTCTTTGAAGGACAAGGATGTGGAAAAGCATAGGATTTTTAAATAACAAAGGGAGAGAGTCTCTCAGATTAGGAAAAGTGGGGAAAGGGCATATCACTAGCATGAGGATGTGGGGTGGGCAGGTGCAGGCTATATGTAACTTTGTCTGGGAAAGAAATGACCTTTGGGGTGGCGCCTGTGGCTCAAAGGAGTAGGGCACTGGCCCCATATGCCAGAGGTGGCGGGTTCAAACCCAGCCCCGACCCAAACCTGCAAAAAAAAAAAAA